CCTCAGGCTCCTCGAGCCAGATTTTTCCGGTCGCCAGGTGTGCCTCGGTATCGGTCCAGTGTAATGGGGGATTGGCGGTATAGCTCTCGAGGGTCTCCAACGTGGCGCAGAAGCTCTGGAGTATCCTACCAACGTGGCCCTGGACGACACCAAAGTCGTCTTCATCGAGTGAGGAGATGACTAGTTTTCCAAGTGCTATTTACCGCATGGGTCAGCCTGTGATGGCTGCAGAAGGGAAGAGGAGGGAAATACCAGAAACCGCATCGATCGGAACCCGCACATTGGGAATAGCACCGGCAGTCACTCGCTGAACAGTCTGCCTAAACGGTTCTCCACAGGACGACGCCAGCATGGGCTCAATCTGCTCCTTGACTATGTCCAAAGCCGACTTCGTCGCCTTGCTCGGATCAAACGAATCCGGAATTGACAAGTGCTTGCGCAGGGCGGCGCTCGGGGACGCGGAACCATCACCAGCCTGTACCATATCCAGTAGGTTACGACCGGGAGAGCGGGGGCCTGTCTTCACCAGGATGTTGGCCTGGTTGATCGGGATCGGAGGCGGACTGTTGTGCGCTGGGGCAGAAGATTGCGTGGGTGGTGCGGAGACAGCAGCTGGGGTGTGCGGGGATTTGAGCTCGGTCAGCTTGATCTCGACGTCGTTGACAGCTCGCAGGCACTCATTAAGGATGTGTTCCCATGATGATGGCTTGCGGTCGACATCGGCGAAGATGGCGCGTCGGCGGTCGGGACGGTTGTGGGCAATGTGGTTCAATTCCGCGAAGGCCATCGGCTGTGCTCACGGTTAGCCATTCGCAGTTCCTTCGGAAGCGAGAATAGATACGCACCTGTGTCAATGGGGCCTTGGCAGTACGGAGCCCAGTAATGAGAGTTCCATTAGGATCGCTCGATTTGTCGGTGATCGTCTTGCCGCCCTGGAACGGATCCTCGGTAAAGAAGGCGTTAAAAGCAGCATGGGAGACTTCAGACGATAAAACGATCATGAGCGCGAGGAAACAAGACCGAATGAAGAGCGTAGGTCCAACCGGAAACGAGGGGAGCGCAGCCGAGCGGTTCAACCTGGCATACAGTCAATACCCTCAATGACCCGGGAAGCGCAACCAAGCATACCAGTAAAAGTGTCTCGCAAACGCCAATGTGTGGGACCAAAGGATATATCGGAACGGAAAGTACACGAGAGGACCGAAGATAGAAAAGAAAGACACATAGTATCCCACATTCCACGCCACAGTAGGGATCTGAGCCGCACCGGCGTCCTTGTAGGAGGCATACGGAACCTCGGGGAATACCAATCTCGCCCTGTCGTAGTAGACATGTGCGCAACCGCGGAAGACACCGATGAAAACGGAGAAGAACACCAGATAAAGGAACCTCTCATTCAGCCTTGGCCGTTCGTAGCTCCTACAATCCTCAGTCAGCACAGCTCCTTCACCACCATCTGACCAATGTGTACGCACCTTCCCTCAACCACAACACCGAGCTGGTCTTCGGGGCCGCAAGACAACAAGTACAGCGTCATGAATACCACCGAAGACAACACGTAGGTAAAGATTGCCGAGTAAGTCGCAAAAGATCCGATCGCTCTCTGGAAGGCATGAAACGGGGATGAGTGCGCTCTTTTGACAACTGGCAGAAGCTGTATTAGCAGAGCTCTCGTCTCTCCGTCCTCCAAAATTCCCCCCGCAAGTAAAACCAACCGTGTAGCTGCGCGATCCTCAAGATCAAGAGTGGCATAGCCGACAGGAAAAACAGCACAAAGCATTTCAGCCCGGTCATGCTTATCGGGAACAGCACCCAAAAAACTGCCAACACCTGTCGTCAGTACAAATTCGACTGTCGTCTTTGGGAGAGCAGGAGGCTCACAGTTCGATTTATCGCTTATGATGATTGCTTCCAGGTAGCAAAAGCCGAGTGAAATCAAGCAGGCGTGTGCAAACCTCCGATGTAGCAGAGGTGTAAGTATCGTCTGGTAATGAGGGGGCGGCGGTCTCGCTGCCGGAGTTGGCAGCGAGCGCGATATGGACTGCACCATCGTGCGAGGTGGCGGCGGCAGCGGTAGTGGAGTGTGTCGTTTGCGGGTGATCGAAGTTGATGTTGATGTGTGGTGATATGGTCGACAAGTTGGAAGGACGCGGTTCTAAGTGTGCCCAGCCTTTGATTTGTTTAAAGAAAGTCACCTGAAAGCGCGAAACTCTAAGCGGAACTTGCCGCAAACATCACAGTTTGTCACTCAGATGCTATATGCCACGTTTCAAGTCCTCAACTTTTACATTCGAGGAAGTATCCCACGGCCGTAAGCTTAGTGCTGGGAAGTACACATTGTAGAAAACACAGCCTACCAGCCCAGAGCAAAAATTCATTCAGCCTTGTACGCCAAAACCCAAACTCATACACATCATGTATGAATCATATATCGCTCGCTCAGCAAACGTCGTTAAGCCAGCCCATAGATTCCACGGCACCGATCGGTCCATGGTCCGCGACATGTCTCACGTCTCCGTTATATCCACCACGGCCTCCTCCTCGTCCTCGCCCTCCAAAGCCTGTTCGGCCACGTCGGCCGCCGCCTCCTCGGTGCCCTTCCCAAGATCCCCGGTAATCATTTCGTCGGTGGTGGTGACCTTTATAAATGAAACAAAGAAAGTAAGAAACCAAAACAGGAAAAAGAAAAAAGAAAAAAAAGGGCAAGTATAGAGAAGGAACATGGGGGGTGTCCAAAAGGGAATAGACAAAAAATGATAAACAAAAACACCAATCACCACCTCCCGCTCGACCCCCAACTGGGAATCGCCATCATCGATGGTGCGCCAGCAGATCCGGGGAGCGTATCAGTAACGCTGGAGGTGTTGTTGTGGTGTGCAGAGGGGTTGGCCCCCATGTTCCCTGAGGATTTGCGCCTAGGAAAGAGACTCTCCCACTCGCCTTCATTGTTATCTTCCTCGATACGCAGCAGAAGTCTCTCGCCGACAACCGTGTTGAAGCGGACCGTCTGCGCCGGCTTCTTCCAGTGATTTTTGTCGATACGGCCGGCATCGATGGGTTTCGATCCCCGTCGGACAGCGAGCACTACTATCGGCTCCGGATTATCTATTTTCTGTCAGCATTTCAACGAAGAGATGGTGTGAACCTTTTGGTACCCGTATAGACCCGAATACTCTCATCCACCGGCTTCACCAGCGCCGCCCAAACTTTATGTTCCCAGTGAGCCACACCGACGACTTCGAACTCGACCTTACTCCCGAAATCGCCGGTCTTTGCCAACACGGATTTCGACGCCGGTCTCGGAGTGATGAGAACGTTATTCGCCATCAGTTTGACATCATTCTCCTTCGCCAACATGGTTGGAATGTCCAGGTCGTTCAGCAGCGCCGTACTAGTAGCGGTACTGAGTAGATACCCGGTGTAGAAAACCGTCTTCTTGATCCTTAACGGCTGGAACCCACGCATACCGAACGACCGCTGCACCTCGTTATGCTCATCGACCATCGTCTGGATTTGCTTGAGCTCAATGGTCGGATCGAGAGATCGCGCGGTCTCGGCCACTTGGATGACATCCGTCTTGAGGTGCGCTCGTCGGTTGTAGGTCGTCTGGACGTAGTTTTTGCAAAAGTCCTCGAAGGTGCGCACGTGCTTTACTCGGTCTTCGTAGATTCTGTTTTAACGTCAGTCATCCGGTTTCCACTCGGCGCGGGGTATGACTAACCGTAGCTCTTGCGCCTCCGAGTAGGTATTCAACAGCTCGGCCAAAAACACCGTCTTGAAAGCGAGAGTATTCTGACTCTGCTGTCCAGTGGGCATGACCTTCGGCTTCAGGACGACCATATCGAACACCAATCCGCGACTCTTGACAATCCTCTGCACCAACTCGGCGAAGCCCGTATCGCTCCTGCCAGTCAGGAGCACAGTCAACGCATCCTTCTGGCGCATACTAAGCTCGACCAGCTGTACAATATTCTCATTCCACCATCCGCGCCACGCGCGCATCTCCTCTGCCTCCAGCCCGTCGCCCGTAGCCGCTAAAATCCGCGGATCATGCCACCACCCACCATTAGCGAGCCAGGTCGGCGATTGCAGGTTGTTGAGCGTCGGCGAGTGCCAGATCTTGTAGTTGGGTAGCGGACTGCAGAAGAGCGTATTGTCGAAATCGTACACGTGGATCGCGCGCACTGCTTCGCGCTCCGGCAGTGGTGGGTCCGCCGGAAGAGAGCTCCACTGCTGCATATGCTCGGGCGTGTACTCGCGGGCCGATGACGGTGCCGCCTGCGCGAACATTATTGCGGCGGCGATGGGGGGAGGGTCGGTGGTGAAAGTTTGGTGGGATGTGGTCAGTGTGGATTAGGCGCCGGTGGAGCAAAGGGAAGAAGACTCTTGAGCCAGCCAAAAAGTTGAAAAGATATGATGGCGAGACCAAGGTATAAAATGCGAGGGTTCTGGGATGGGTATTAAAAGCGCTATCTACAGGTAGAGTGAGCATCGGGTCTTTATGGCACGTGACTGATTCTGCAGCACGCCAATTAGCGCGAAGAGCCTGCCGGCACGCGCATATTCTGGCTTTATCATGCTCAACAGTTAGAGGTTGCTCTCAATTGAGTGCTTGAGCCGGGTCAAGTGCTCGGCTTTCGAAAATTATGAAATACGATGTTTTATGGGTGATAATTTGTGCTACTAGCGAGTGATGAATGGTGATGGGATGTGGTTGAATGTGAAGTGCAAGTGGCCACTGCCGCCTTTCAGTATTGTACACATCGCGAGCGCGGCAATACACACTGGAGTAGTACCAGTGCACCTTGAAGCTCACAGAGCTCGCTCCTTCCTCTAATGAATGCACAAAACGAAGCACATGTAATGATGTAGCCACTTCGTTCATCGAGTACACTGCCCCAAGCTGTATCAGATGAGTTCCCATCGCGTACCTCAGGGTTGTACCAGATCTACGCACTGGTCCCAATCACCTCCCTCCGCAGCTACGTCTTCGTCGGTCCCTCTACCGCCTCCCTTAGAGCCCTCTTCCTGCCCTCCATCCAAGCAGCCTGCATGGCCTCCACTTTTCCCCCCAGCACCGTTGCCGTAGCTGCGGTCAACAGCACGACGCCCCTCGCAACCGTACACCCCCTCAGCAGCATCTTCGCACCAATATTCATCCCCACTTTCACACCGACCACAGGCTCCAGCTCAAATCCCCACACCCTCCTGCCTGCCGCGTCTTCCAGCAGTAGTTTGTGCATACTCCTCGTTCCCGCGCGTGCCTCACCCGAGCCAGTATCGTTGGCGGTATTATCTTCCCCGGGGACGACACGGATGACCTCGCGCCCGCGCATTACCTCGCCGCGCTCCGCCATCTCCAGGCGGTCCAGAGCATCGCTACGGGAGGAGCTGATGTCGTGGATGTCCAGCATCTGGACGATGATGCCGTCATTAGGGAGGGTGCTGGATACGGGCGCTTTTGCGGGAAGCGTCGGTGGGAGACATAGGTTCGCGTAGGGCTGGAGGGACAGCGTGATGTCGGATGCTAACAGGCGGAATTTGAGGGATTGCACTAGGGCCTTCCCCGTGGGAGGGTGTGCCGAGGATTGTAGAGCGGTCAGGAGCGTGCGCAGGACCGATAGACGTGCGTGAAGGTGGTGTTGGGTGGAGAGGATTTCGAGGAGCACGTCGATTGAAGGGGGGGGCTGGGAAGGTGTTGGAACGAGCATGGTTGCGTGGTTGGTGGTGGGGACCAACAATGCAGGAGACTCGATAAGACTGGTCCAGACGCAACCTTAAATCCACCTCAGCTCAAAAATACCTACGGTAGCTCACTCAGACCTCACCACCACGAACACCAAAAATGCAATCCTCCTCGCCCTCCTCCTCACGTGCACCCTCAATCTCCATTACCACGCCAATAACATCATACCCACCGTTCCCCTTCCCCAATCCCAGCACGCCCATCTCCTCATCCTCGAGCCCACAACACAGTCTCGACATCCCGCGCAACAGCAGCGCGCCGAAGCGGACACGGCACGCACTCCGGCAGTTCTACAACCTCTCGGCGACGACCGGGGAGCCACTGCCATCGCTCGACCGCGACGACTTCTCAGCGGATAGCTACATCACCAATATCCTGTCAGAGAAATCGCTGCGTGACCTGCTGACCCTCGAGAACACGCTGATCAATGACATCCGCGGGCTGGATGGCGAGCGCAAGGCGCTCGTGTATGATAACTACTCGAAACTGATCGCCGCGACCGATACGATCAGGAGGATGAGGGCTAGTATGGAGCCGTTGACTCCCACGACGAGTACGCTGGAGCCGGCGGTGAGCCATATCGAGGGTGTGAGTCGCGGGTTAGTGGAGGGGATGAGGGCGGCTAGTCCGAGGCCATCGACGGCAAGGGGGAAAATGAAGGGGGTGGAAACGGCGAAGTGGGCGCTTGCGGCACCGGAGAGGATTCGGGGCTTGGTGGAGGAGGGAAGGGGGGATGAGGCGAAGAAGGTGCTGGCGCGGTTGAGGGAATTGTGTGACAAATGGGAGGGTACGGCAGGAGTGGATGTGTTGAGAAAGAAGGGCGAGGACGCCTTTGGGAAAGCGGAGGAGCAGGAAGAGGACATTTCGTAGGGCATTCACTGGCATCTTTATTCGTCGGACAACATTTTGGAATTCAAGCGTCGCTTGCTTGTGCAAGCTTTGTTCATCATCTTACTGCTGCTTTGCACCATTCAAAAGCAGTCTTATCATAATTACATGTACATGCCCAGCCCGTGCAACCATCGTGTGTGGATATAGGAAATGGTATCGTAAAACAAAACAAAAATCCTCATCCCAAAATTCTCCCATCGCACCAACACATCATCGTAGTCGTTCGTTATAACTGCAAAGCCCGAATCGCCCCCATCCCGCCCAGGAAAGACAAGGAAAGAAAAAGAAAAGAAAACCCAAAGGAAATGCATCAAGGAAATCGCCACCGCCGAAAATGAAAAGAGACACTCATCGTACTCATGACACCCTGCCCAACCAACCAAGCCCCAAACCCCCTGACCCGTACTTATCTTCTTTTTGTAATACAATTGGCATAGCCCTCATTAGGTTCGTCGTGTGTCGGATGGGTGTAGATTTAGATCTCTTCCTCGTTGGTCAACTTCTCAACCAGGTGCATGGACAGAATCCTGTTTCAAGCGTTAGCAAAGTGCATCACAGTGAGGAAAGAATGCGGGGGGCATACATGACAAGGAGACCGATGGTAACGATGATTAACAGTGCAAATCCGAACCAGCCTAATATCATCGCGGTAACACCCACTCCCGTTTGGACACTTCCATTCCCCATGTTTTCCGCTATAGTCGCTGCTGCAACGGACGCCGTATGCTGCCAAAGCACGGAAACGAGCACGAAGATAGCAGCCACGAAGATCACCGCCAGAGCAATCTGGCTGACAGCCCTAGACGGTAACCGGCCAACATTGGGACCACCCGGGTACTCCTCCTCGTAGCCAGGGAACGTAGCGAGTAGTAGTAAAACAACGGTAGCGAGAATGATAGCGATGATGATGAGGTAGGGAAACACGATGCTGTCCTTGAACGTCTGCGCGACCCACACAAGGTTGAGGGGGTCCTGGTCCGAAGGGATCTGCGCGGCCAGAGAGGAAGCATTCGCGGAGCACAGCCACGAACCGCCGTCAGGGTTGACACAGATTCCGAAGAAACCGACACGGGCCTCCAGCTGAGCATCACCCACGATGTTGCCGATCGCGCGCGACAAGCCCGGGTCGACTTGCGCGGGGTCGAAAACGGGGGACGTGCGGTCGTACCAGAGATTAATGAGGAATATCGACGGTATCAACACGGAACTTGACGAGCATCCTGCTAGTAACAGTGCTGTAAGGTAAATGCATTAGCTACAGAGCTCCGCGATCACCGGAGAAAGTTGCGACGAACAGAGTAAGATTATAGCAACGAGAATCAGTACCATTAACACATGGTGGTACCCGAGGAACGGCACCAGCCCTGTTCAATTGTCAGCTTTGATTATTATTGTCGCGATGCCCTTCCGGAGGTCGAGGACGTCGAAGAGGGAGAACCAACGTTGGAAGCCGAACACGAACTTGATCTTTCGCTCAACCATTTTATGCTGTAGCGAAGATTCCCGGCCTTACTGATCACTCTTAACCAGACAAGACGACGATTGACGGGTGAGTTGAAGTGGTCTGCACTCGTGGGTGCTGCGCCGTTGTCGGAGGGGAAGGAGAAGCGGGAGTGGATTTCGAGACGGCGGCGACGTGTAAACAAATTGTTTCGTGACGGGTGTTTAGGATGGATGCAAAGCGGATGCAGGAGCGGCGGGCTAAATGTTGTGATGATGTGCAGGAGGAGGATGTAGAGCGGAGGGAGTAGTGGCAGCGGTAGTTGGTGTTGTTGATGTTGATGGTGGCGGGTTCTGTTGACGCGGACTTCTTCTTGTCGGGACGAGAGGAAGATGCAACAGCAGCAGGCAAGCAAGCACGTTCGTTGCAATCGTTCGTTCGTGTTCGTGTCGTGATGAATATGTGATTGATTGATACGCTATGATCTGACGCGCAATCGAGTCAAGTGGAATCCAGCCAGGCACCGCACCAAAAAGTAAAGTTGAAAGTAGAGAGGCTGGCAGGCGGCTGATGCTGGTGGGCTGGTGGGCTGGGCTGGCTGGGCCTAATTTGGGGAGGGGGCATTCTCCTGCGGGTGTGTGCTGGACACACATACAACAGACAGGCGCGGTGTGGGGAAGCGGATGTAAACACCCCAATCACCATAGCAACCCAACCGACGAGTCTGTACTGGTAACTACTAGTACGCCTCATCATATCAAGAGAGTGCGACAAATATTGACTCTGTTATGATTTATTAGGCGTCGATAGCCTGGGGTGAGAACGGTCGCAGATGTTGCGCTGCAACTGTGTAACTACCCCGGAGCAAAGAGATGATATCGCGTGTCAATGGAGATAATGAAGGTCCCCACCAAAGTGCCATCGTGAACTTGGTATTTCATCCCATCTCATAATCCAGTGCATATATATAAATCGCCACTTCACCTAATGCTAATAACAAATATAAAGAACAGTTGGATAAAAAAAACAAGAGACGAGAAGGTATAACCGGCCCAAACCAACACAAGAAACGCCATATACAGATGCTATACTACACACTGCCACGCTCACCTACTGTATGCAAACCTATCAAACATCCCCTTCCCGAACACCCCATCGACGTCCTGACTATTATCTGCGCTCGTGACATACCTATCAAAACCAGACAGGAACTCCTCACTCTCATTGCTATCCGCCGACTCCGATTTTGCAAGTATGGGTATTGATAATGGCATAGTCGCCGACCTGGATGGGGGAATTGTTCTAGGATTTTGGTTGAGAGCCCTCGCACCCAAGTGCTGTAGCGATGTCATTGCAAGGACCGCAGTGCTCTGCACCCGTGGCTTCTCGATCACAGCGGCGAGATCCTTTACGCCTCCCTGCTTCGGGAATGCGAATGCTTCTTTCCAGCCTTGCGCGACCTTCTTGGCAGATTCGATCGCGGCTGGTGAGGGTGGTAGACATAGACTGGGACTGGGTGACGACTCCTCGGTCTGGGTGGGTATGGGAGGCACGTTCTTCTTCTGCTGCAGTGCGAGTGTGGTCGGAGTGAGCGCGGGTGTGATGTTCTTCTTCGGTCGCGGCTTCGGTGTCGGTGTACTGTTGATGGGTCGCCGGCTCTGAGTGGCGAAGAATGGGCTCCGTTCCACCGCTGCTGGGGTGGGTGTTGTGGCGGTGGTCTTGAGTTTCTTGCTCGCAGAGGTGGTGGTCGCATCAAACGGGCGTTTCATGGGGGTTGATGCCGATGTCGTCTTTGCTGGCGCGGACTGAGAAACAATCCTATTCGTATTCTTCGGTTGCAGCACCGGAGTAGCAACAATGGCGCGTGCTTCTGATTTTGGCTTGAAGAAGGATGTGATGGATTTATTCTTTGGCGTCGTCGTCATTTGTACTTTCTGGTTTGGCGGGGGCCATGGCTTCGCCGAATTGCTCGGCCCCGGGGGCAGTGGAACAATCTGGATGGGCTCCTTCGTCATCGGGTCGAGTTGCCCGCAAGCAACAAGACGTGCGATATCCGCTTCGATTTCCGGGCCAATGTAACAAAGTATCTCGTCGTCGATGGTCACCTGCGGACTCGGATCATTGGCCATCACTATCTGCTCCTGTATTGGGCAGAAAACGCGCTGATGTAGAAATGTCATATCCGCACGCTTGAACGCCTCCAGGTACCCCGAAGGAACCTTCTTCTTCCCCTCCAGTTGGACGGCTCGGAGCAGCTTTTCCACATCTCTGTAGCGTCTCATGTAGCTATACGCAGTCTTGAGACCCATCGTCGGAATGTTCTCCAAATAGTCGCAGCCACTCAGAATACACATATGCCTGAATTCGGTCTGTGTCCACCCGGCCAGACTGATTTCCTTGCAAGCGGTGAAGTGCTCACGGTTGACCTCCACAAATTCCCCGAACTGGTCCAGCTTCGTGAGAAGAGTCTTGACGCCGAACACCAGCAGGTCCGAGTCTTCTGAGATAACGGCGTCGATGATTCCCATTTTCTCGAGGTAGTAGAGCTGCGAGTCGGCTTCGTAGGGGGCGACGAGACATTTCACGCCGAGGGAGGCACACGCGTCGATGATGTGGCGGGCCATCATCGGGGTCACGTCGATCGATTTTTGAAGCTCGAGGTACGCTTGCGAGCTGCGGCCGAGCTTGAGGAGTTCCAGTCCGGTGGCTTTGCTCTGTGCACGTTTTCTATATTACAATTAGAACTTGTGTGATGTGTTGGACATATCAGCGCACTTACTTCTCGCGTTCAACTTCGGTTCCGGACTTGCTCGGAAGGTAGTCTCCATCGAATACTAGATACGGCGTGACGCCAAAATGCCGTAGCATCCTGACTCGGTGCATAACGTAGTCGACATATCTATCCAGTCCGTCAGTCGCTTTCACTCGGCAGCGAATGGAAAAAGGGTGAAGTACTTGACAGTGGGTTTCCCCAATGCTAAATCAACCGCACATGATATCGTGCCCTTGTGTAGCCATCCATACGCGTCGACACCAACCGTCTTCCCAGCCCAATCCCTAATGTGGCCCGGTCTTTGGATGGACTTGAGAAGAGGAAGAAGACCTAGGACACAGGTCAGTCAAATCGAATGTCAGCAGAAAGGGCAAGCTCGAAAACCGACCTGTGATACCCATTTTCTAGCAGAAAACGGGGTGGAGATATCTTTCAGAGGTGGAGGCCCTGACAGAAGGGTTGCGGGCCGCTAAAGTACTTCAACACCCAGGCGCGTCCGCATCAAAGCGAAACCCGTGTTCCATGATCCGTCGCACGCGACTAGGTTGGTAAGTAGAATATGGCACATGAGAGCACTGCTTTTCCCACTAGCTTGATCCATTTTGATTTTTAACCTCGATCGCGCAGCCGTTTCAAATCACTCGCGAATCTGGATTGAAGAACGGCAACAGATAAAGTGGCGAGCATCATCATTTCTTGCAGGCGAGAGGGATGACAGGATCCTGATTCATCAGCCGAGTGGAGCTTGTAGTGAAATCCGGAGGTTTTCCGAGTGACGCCAGATGAATTATACTATCGCGCTAGCTAAGCCTGGAGCGCATGCAAAAAAGGCTTGCATGCTCGCAGCACCACCACTGCTCCCCTACACATCCATCCCACCACAACCACCACCGCCAGAATGCCCAAGATCGCCCTCGAGAAAGTTTCCAAAAAGATCCGCAAGAAGAAGGGTGCGCTTGATGGCCTCGGAGACCGCAATGCCGCGCGAATGAACCGTGCCTCGTTGCGGGACCAGAAGCTTAAGCATGCGGCGAAGGTTCGCAACATACAGAAGGAGCACGAGAGTATGAGGATTCTTTCAGTTGACCGTTCAGATATGGTGATGGCTAATACTATACTTCTCCAGTGCTGCGCATCGGTTACTTCAAGGTCGTAACGAAGGGTGTCACTGAACCACTCAGCATTGAGAAGACCCGAGACCTGATCGCACAGTTCGTACACCATCCATACTACCAGGGACACGACCGCTAATAAATGGTTACTGCAGATGGGTAAGCCGCGAGGAAACCGAACTCGAGCGTTACGAGCTCGAGCGACGAGCGGGCCGTCCTCCACTTCCAAAGTACTTAGAGCTCAAGAACAAGGTGGAGAGAGAGCGTGAAGAATTTCGGACAGGGTACCTAATGCCTGACCTGCAGGATATGGTCAATATCGTGAATCTGCAGCGGTGGGATGGAACTACTGGGTCTTTGGCTCAGGTCAAGTTCACAAGAGTGTCCAAAGAGGACCCTCCAGTGGTGGAGGATAAAATGGAGACCTAGATTATGCCGAGAGGGCAATGATTCCCGGGAGGGGAGATTTAGTTGGAGTTTGGCGTTTAAAAGTCGGGCAATTGAAATCTATATCGACTGAGACTTACTTGAATTCTTCGTCAAATTCCAATATCAAACCCAAGAATATGAGCACACATGTTAGCGCATTGAGAGCATGCTGCCAAGCCATCTAATAGTTCTCGTCTTAGCGACTCTAATTTTTCTTTCTGATGTTAATCTGGAACTCCCCGCCAACCATCCCACCAAACCTTCAACTCCATCCATTTCGCCCCTCCACTCAGTACTCATCCTCGCCACCCCCAAATCTTACAATGTTTTCAGCCAGAACAGTAATCCGTGCCCTCCGTGCACCCGTCTCCCGGTCCGTGTCCCGAACAATCTCGACTGTACCCCAGAAATCGGTCCTGGCATCAACATGGAAGAGCTCCGCTCTTATCCGACAGCCCCGCCTGATCGCGCCTTTCTCAACCACCTTCCGTGCTTTCGAGAAGCAGGGTGTCGGTAAGCAATCACCAACTTGCAAAGTTACTACGATTTGCCTAGCTAACGTAATGCTCGTTGACAAATAGTGGACGAGGAACTTGCGCTGAAGCTCGAGTCGGAGCTTAACCTTGAGAAAGAGGTGTCCGAGAACGATGAGATCCCTCAGATCGTGGCCGACTTCATCCAGAACAGCTCCTTCAAGGTTCGTTTTGTTTGCGCTGCTGTAATTGAAGCCATACTAACGGATAATTCGCGACTTCAGATCAACGACAAGCCCGGCCAGGAAGAGGTCGAGCTCATCCGCAAGTTCGGGGATGAGACCATCCGTGTTGTCTTCTCGATTTCCGACCTGAACGCTCTTTCCGAGGATGGTCTGAACGAGGACGCTCTTTTCGACGAGGAGGAGCCTTCGATGCCTCGCAACTCCATGCAGTCTGGAGGTGCTCAGTCGGCCGCCGGAAAGGATAATGGTAACATCGCCGTCGCCGACGACGCCAATGAGGATGAGGATGAGTTTGGCGACGAAGACGAGGAGCCTTCTTTCCCCGCTCGTGTCAATGTCACCATTGAGAAGGTTCGTTTACCCAGGAAAATCTATGAACTCGGAAGGAAGGCAGTGCTGACGGCAACCATGTAGCCCAACCAGGGTGCTCTCCAGGTCGAGGCCATCGCACAAGACGGCATGATGGTCATCGAGAATGTATTCTACCACAAGAACGCCACCCTGGCAACCGCTCAGACCGCGGATGCCGATTGGGAGAGGAGGGGCGTTTACGCCGGCCCTCCGTTTGGTAACCTTGACGAGGACCTTCAGGTTCTTCTCGAGCGCTACCTGGATGAGCGAGGCATCAACACCTCTCTGGCGCTCTTCATCCCTGACTACATTGACTACAAGGAGCAGAAAGAGTACCTGAGCTGGCTTGAAAACGTCAAGAACTTTGTTTCTGCTTAAGTATAGTCACTTCGGGCCTTTTCTCTCTTAACATCTCTTTTCTATTAGCAAACTTGTACAACATTCCTTCTTTTTCATTCTTCGACAATTTATGATGGCGAGGCGGGGCACCTTACTTTTTACGACTCCTGATTTGCGGATCTTTCAAGATCCGGGCAGAAGATCCTTTGATGCGGTAAATGTTGGGGACGGCTAGGTGTATGATATTACAAACAAAAAGCATCATTATACGAACAACCTTTTTGTGATTCCAGCTAGTGATTATCCATGCTGGTGATGGCGATGATGGTGATAATCAAATTAAGCAGCAACATTCCTAGCTCCCAATCCCTTCTTTAGCCCTTCCCCAAGCACCGCCCAATCCAACCCCCCAACGTCCCCTTTCAACGCCGCCTGCTGCGCACTCTTCAACGCATCCTCCACTCGACCCTGATGCACCTGCCACACCACCAACGTATCCTTCGCGACCTCATGTCCACTCCCCTTCAATGCATCCACAAACACCGTCTTCTCTTCCTCACTAAACGGCAGATTCAAGAGCTTGAGCGCATTGACTGCGGGATTGGTCGTGATGCAGTAGTTCACCAGTTTCCTCAAAAACTGGGTACGCAGGAACCCCGGCGCCGTCCGCGCATACAAGAAAGCGGCCTCGGGACTCAGCTGCATCTGCGCGGTGAAGAAGATTTCGACCGCCTCTGGCGATTCGAGTACTGGCTGCACGCAGGTGACGAAGGTGACTGCCATCCGCGCGGAGCCGTGGGTGTAGAGGGTTTTGAGGATCTTCTCCGGAACGGGAGGGGTTACGGCGGGCGCGGTGAGGTGCGCCAGCGCCGACTGCAGCGAGAGGTTGTCGAGATCGTGCACCGCCGTGATCAGGTCGATGAAATTCTGCGGGAGAAGGATGCGCGCGGCGAAGGTGCTTGCGGCGGTGGAAGTGGGTAGGTCCAGCAGCAGGTAGTACAGGAGCGTGTGCTTCTTCAGCGTGTCGAGGTGGTCCGAGGTTGTGATCAACGTGTGGAGGGATTTGAGCGAGGTAACGGATTTTGGAGGGTAGTTTGTTGGCACTGCGGTTGATTGTTAGCTGGAGGAGGTGGACCAAGAGGGGAGGGCGAGCATGCCGTCTTTGATTCTGGCAAAGGATTTCAGTAGGCTGTCGAAGAATAGCTCTTCGTCTAGAAGCTGGCGGTTGCGCAGGATCTCGTCGACCCGGGCTTTTGGGTAGGGGTTCTTGAGGTCGGCGGGGAAGACATTGCGGAAGTCGAGGAGAGGATCATCGGGAATATCCATGGTGTGCTCGTTGTGTATTGTATGTATCGTAGGTAGTGGTGCAGGTGACGATGAAGTTGGTGGTAGTGTTGGTGGTGAGTGGTGAATGATGGTTAGACGCGCTGGTTAACGTGCTGTGAAGGGCAGCCGCGTCGCTTCGAGAAAGTTGGTGGCTGGTCACGGGATTGACCATAGGGTAGTCTCGACCCACAGCTCTTCTTGTTACCGACAACAAAGTATCCAACTTCCAACAATTTCGGCTTTTCCCTAATACCAACCGAGAGGGAGGCAGGAAGAACAACTCGCGCTGCCCAACAACATACTCGCACACCGCCACGATGTCAACTCCTGTGTGCAAGTTCTTTCAGCGCGGTACCTGCAATTTCGGCAGCCAGTGCAAATTCATTCATCCAGGCCAGCCGACTCGGGGCGGGAATGGAGGAGTGCCGGGCCAAGGACAGCAGTACGGAGGCGCGCCACAGAACCAACAGCAGCAACGGGAAAACGATGGGTGAGTAACCTTGAATAGCGAGCAGTGACGCGCGGGAAGAAGCGTGGTGGGGCCGGGAACAATGGCGCCAGACACGTGTGCTGCAGCAGCTCCACTATCTCGACCACCCATCGTTTTCCCCACGACTTCTTCGTTTCTCCTACACAGAGAACCTTCTTCTATACGTTCTTCGACAACGAGCTAACTCGCAATGTCTATATCAAGCTACAACCCAGCCACGAGCGAAACCATCAATATCGACCTAGTCGAGAAGCCGATGTGGATCTTATCGTCGTACGGACCCGGCAAAAACCCGCCAGTACAGCTCATCGATGGCAAAGATATATCGTTCGAAGAGGCTCGAGTGCTAGCCTATCAATGTCAAGCGGAAGGGAATCCCGTTGCATATGTACGCCGCGCAACCTTCTATTCTCTCGGCCCCTCCTCCTCCTCCTCCTCCTCCTCCTCCTCCTCCTCCTCCTCCTCCTCCTCCTCCTCCTCCTCCTCCATTCGGCTCACTGAATTGACCTCCTCTGTTTGAAAAGGAACAACAATGGGTAAAACTCAACACGGAGGCCGACACACAAATCCGGAATATCATGAGCGATCTCCCGGGAGCTGTTCGTTTCTTAACACAGGCGCAAGAGAATCGCGATCAGCTCTACAAGTACAGGACACCGGGTGGTGATCCTACTGGCCCTATTTCGCCGTTCTCACAGGTACTATTGTCTCGTAATCACCACATGGGTTATCTGCTAACATCCGTCCCTACAGCCCCAGCAGCAGCAGCAACTCAATGCAAACCAGAACCCATTCGGCGCACCGACCCAGCCCGCGCCGGCTCAGGGTGCATTCGGACAGCCTGCGTTCGGGCAATCTGCGTTCGGGCAACCAAGCCAGCCGACTATCTCGTTGACTGCGCCGTCGCCTTTTGCGGCAGCCTCACCCACCCAACCTGCCTTTGGGCAGCCGGCTTTCGGACAGACGTCGGCTCCGCAGAGTGCGTTCGGCAAGCCACCACAGCCGGCATTCGGCCAGCCAGCATTCGGACAGACATCGGCATCTCAGAGTGCGTTTGGGAAGCCGGCCTTTGGTCAACCGGCATTCGGACAGTCAGGATTCGCTGCCGCCCAACAACCTCAGCAACCACAACAACCTGCGCAGCCACAGGGTGTTTTTGGTGGTGCTAGTGCGTTTGGAAAGCCTGCCTTCGGTCAGCCAGCTTTTGGACAATCGGCATTCGGTCAGCCATCGGCATTGGGCGCCGCGCCGAGTCCATTTGCAGCCGCAGCAGCCCAGAACCCCGCTGCGGCCAGTCCATTCGCCACCGCCGCAGCGCAACCGCAAAACAACGGCAGCCCGTTTGCCGCCGCGACGCAGAACCAGCCCCAGAACGCTGGCGGTCCGTTCGGCGGATTTGCGCAACAGGCGCAGCAGGGTGGGGCTCCAGCAGCTGCTAACCCTTTTGGACAACCGCAGGGGGCACAGAATGCCGCCTCGCCGTTCAGCCAGGTCAACCCCTTCCAACAGACTCAGCAAGCGCAACAGGCGAACCCGGCCGCGAATCCCTTCGGCCAACCCGCCCTGCTCGCCGCCGCAGCGCCAACAAACGCATTCGCCACTGCTCCCCAACAGCAGTCGGCGTCGCCATTCAGCAATGCAAACCCATTCCAATCCGCCGGACAGCCCCATCAGCAGCAGCAGCCCCAGACAACTCCTAGTGCCGTAAACCCGATTGGACAAACTGCTGCGTCGGCAGCCGGACAGAAGAAGTGGGATGACCCCGTGTTAGAGTACACCGCCGAGGAACTTGCAGCTTTTAGGGCGCCGGAATTCAAGCTCGGTCATGTTCCACTTGTGGCCCCGCCGAGGGAATTGTGTCTCTAGCACCTAAGGCGGGGGATGATGGTGTAAGTTTCACATACCAAGGAGGGATGGGGTGTTTTCGGAGTTTGTGTTTGGTTTCTCTACTCGAATTTGACTTTACTGCTGGCTGTGTGTGCTGTAGATGATGGAGAGTACTTAGCTGTCCGACAATTTGCGGGCTGCAAGCAATATCTATCATCTATTGTTGTTTGTCCAAATCGTCCTGTTATTTTTGGATTGGAATTGGATCCTTGTGGGGAAGGAAGTGTATCCCGACACCCGCATGTATTCGTAGGGGTTCTCGTAGAGGAACGAGGTTAGATACTTGCGTGCAGTGATGCACGAGTGATATGGATGATGCAGCCAATTTTGCTTCTTTTATTCATTATGTATCGATCTATCGTAATGCCCAACCAAAACGCCCTATATGCCCACTTCGTTGATAAGTATGCCCCCGTGCATGTTCATCTTCCCAGTGCCCCCGCAGCCCCAACCATAACCGCAACCTCAAACTCGACCGCCCCTCGCTCCGCCGCAGCACCAACCAATCCCCGCTCCACACACGCACGGAACGCATTCCTTACACGATCCTTCGCGCCCTTCAAAATGCGAGCATTCGCGCCACCCCGCGCAGCAACTTCCCGCACCCGCGGCTCTATCCCTGCCGCCAGACTGCGGAAGAAGATACTTGGCAAGCCGCCGCCGCTGTCGAGTTGCGTTAACACTGGGTCGAGCAGAGATTTTTGTTTTCGCTGTTGCTGTTGGTCGTCGGCGATATCTTCCGTTGGGACCGGGATGCCCGAGAGGAGGGCTTGGAGGGCGACTAGGTTTTGGCAGCGGGCGGCGACTTCGCCCACGCTGCGGTCGAGCGTGGTCAGTGCGGTGAGACTCCGGGTGAGCGCGGTGAGACTGGCGTTGACAGCACTGTTGAGGTGGGTTTGAACGGCGTTCGTGAGGAGGACCGCCTCTTCCCGCGAGAGGAGGTATAGTGCTAGTACTCCTGCTGCGGCACGAGCACGCATCACTTCGGCCCCGGCACCGCCCGCAACTCCTACTCCGAATGCTGATGTTGCCGCGGCCGATGTCGGCGCAGTACCGCCGCTACCATTCCCGTTGCTAGTACCATTCCCCGAGGCAGCGGTAGAGGGCGCCACGGGCTCGAACGCTAACACCGCATCCCTAGCCTTCGCCAGCACTGCCGTCTCCGCCGGCACAAACACATGTTTCTTTAGGTCCTGCGCCAGGATTACATCGTCGTCCACATCCGCCAGGACCCTCCCCAGCCGCAGCTCGCGGATATTATGGCTTACGCGCACAAGCGCCTTGTTGTACTCCGCACCGCCATCGCCTCTGCCCCCCGCACTCCCACCACCACCCCCGCCACCGCCCCGTCCAAGCTCTTGCATCTGCACTTCAATCTGCCGTGCCACAACCAATGCCCGCCCCAGCTCTCGAAGCTGCGTCGTCACGGCGTGGAGCCTTTCCACCGCGACGAGAACCTGTCCAGCCACGTGACTGCGGTCCGCGACATCGCGGCGCAACCGCTCGTGCGCGGTCTTCAGAGCATCGAGCTGTGCATCCACGGCTGCCAGGACGGATTCCGAGGCATCGCGGGATGTAGCGGTGAACGACAATAGCGGTAGTGCGGAGGCAGTAGTGAGCGCGTGAATGTGCGTATCTATCTCCTGCAAATCGAAGAGGACGCGCGACAATGGCGTGGTCAGGTCGAGGGTGGGATCCGATGGATCAACGTTTGTGCCCAGGATTAACGTGTTGGCGAAGGAGTGCGCCGAGAATTGAGGCGTTAGGAAGGCGTCGTAGTCAATGTACGTGTCGTCCTCGTCGGCTATCGTCGTTGTCGCCATTGCTGTTCGGGGTGGTGGTCGTCTGGATGGATGGATGCGTGATGGGTCATGGCGGGGTATGGATACATAAGGGGAGGCTCGGCGTTCGGCCGCTAACGTTAGCGTCCTTTGGAACCCGCGAGCTTAAGCTGGAGCTCCCTCGTCAGTCAACGACAGCTGCCAGCGACTATCAACAACGATAATTCTCCACCGTAGTACTACGAATAACACCTGACGAACTCGGAGAAGTACCTGACTTCAGGAGGTCATCGCAGTATATCTACAGTCTGAGGAAGCAGAAGAAATGGAATTTACCTATATACTTACTTTCAATGACGTTTACTCAATTGACGAGCACACAGCTCTAATACAGCTGCCATTCGACGAGAACTCATGAACAAATGTTACCGTGAAATACGGATCTGATTAATATAGCTCCACTTCAGACCAAGAGGTGTTCTACTGGCGAATTGATACAACTTCCATTTCCGTACACAGGCCCCAACAAGTGGGACGACCCTGCGTTCTCGTCGAAAGATTGCATGTTCAAGTACTGTGGAGTGCTATGTGAGCCACATTCGAAACCCTCCTATTCTGGCTGCACTCGTCTGTCCACATTTCAAGCTGGAAAACCGGGCCATATTTCTTCCGGAAATCGATACATGGGGTTAATAGAGGATGGGCAGGCTGCACTACTGCTGGCATCACAGTACCCGCCAAAGACCGAAGAGCAATCTGGAGTAGCCACAACCACAGGCCACCCCACAAGAGGCAGATTACACAAGGATAATCTGGAGCAGTCTGGATAATAAGTGTGAGGGCTGTGAGTGCGCCTGAACCCATGTGATGCATTATGATATACGAAAGGCTCACAGACATATGGACGCCTACTCGCCCTATGTACGCGGAATTTTGACTCAACTATTAGGTCTTCGGAATGAGACGAATTACTAGTGGAACAGCTGCTCCCCGTCGGCTTCCTATCCAACTTCGCAAAGAGATGGACACAAGCAAGCAAGTCGAGGACTTTCTCGGGGACCGATCCTATTACAATTTTCCGGATGAGGAAGCGCGAAAGGTCGCCATCTTTCATGCCACGGGAGATTGCCACATGCAGAACGACAACGTCTAGGCGTGGATTGAATTGTTTTTCTGATTCTCCAAGGCCGCCAGTATAGCGAACACAATTCGTGGCCATGTTTTATGTGGAGCAGATGCTGTTTATTTAAGGACCAGTTCTACAAAGGAGACAAACTCTTCTGGGTCACCAACGAGAGCCAGCCACTCCCTCATGTGTACAGCACCGATAACAAACGACTGGGGTTGCCGATTATGGGGCACGGCCGGGCTTGGTCAACGACAAGTTGCAACTCACTTGCCCACTGCCTGTGATTATCCCGTCGATGCCGAATTGCGCTTTGAGTATCCCCAGCCAAAGAATGCAGTCCTCGTGGACATACAGATTGCCGTTGACGGGAATCCAAAATATTTAGTAGAAGAAGTCTTATCTCTACAATACCACAATCAAGCTCCTCAAGAGTTGGAGAATATTGGGAATAGCCCTGCGAGCGTCATCGTTCCCAACGGGTACGGCAGGAATCCTCACCACGTTCTTACACATACTCCTGTGTAGGTATACCACTATCAGGGATGTCCACCCAAGATTCGGCAAGGCATTCTTTGAAGCTCGCGAGCTCTATGCAAAGTAGGATCTCGAGACGTCGACCGGAATGCAATCTTCCAGAACCCAGGAACGATGGATATGGTGATCTTGGCTGCACTGTTTGGAGCAGAAATCACCATTCTCCGACTGTTTCTTAAAGAACCAGTGGATACAGACATGAGTATTGTGCTCATTGCTGGAGGGTCTCTCTCGCATCAAGTTCAGGGACGGCGTTCGACATAGTCCAGTCTGTCCGTCCTGAGCCTCTGACTGGACTGTATCTTGACAGCCCGTCCGGGTGCGGTGTTCGAACGGACTAGTCCAAAAAAAATTGAGGGCAGGATGGACTGCAGTCCAATGCCAAGAACACCCAATCCACGAACTGGACGGACTACTTTTACGCAGTCTGTCCAAGGGGCCAGAATGGACCAGATCTTTGCAGTCCGTCCGGTCCGGACTATGTCGAACACTGTATCTACTTCCGTATCATATTCTCTCAGCTCGGTTTTTTTTCCGGATAAAATCACGCTGAGTACTCAGCTGATTTACTACGACGAACTTTGGAACTAGACCGATGATATCTTTATTCGCCAAGAAGAGGAGCCGTCCGAATAAGGGCTTGAATGGTCGGTGTTCTTCTACGGGTCGAGACTCGAGAATTGGCTTCATGAGCTCGGCTGGGATGGTTCCGACATCGCTAGGACAGTGCGGGAATGGTCAGCGATGTTGATGCAATCGAAAGAGTTGAGGAGATGCGGTTTGATTATCATACCTGCCTGGCGGACATCTAGAACTGGAGACTGGGAACTGGGGAGTCCGGCAGGGGTTTGAAAATTCTAGCCCTATTATGCCTACCTACGTAAACCTACATCGTCTCCGCGGTACATTCCCATATTCAGACATGCTTCGTTTGGTCAGTGAGAGCCATTCCGCTGTTTCACCTGGCTGTTCGACGGTTTACCGCTCAATGCCCAATCTCGAATTTGGAACTCCCTCCAGTTTCCGGTACATGCATACATAAGCACTAACCAAGTACCTAGAGTACAGCATGCAATGCGATTTACGAGTCAGTCCCAGTGGCGTCGTCGCCATTGAGTTCTAGAACCCCCCGCAGAAGCAAGCAGAACGGACATTCTCTCCGCTGCTGCGCTTTGCGTCATAAGTCATCACTCACTCACTCGATTTTCCCTCTGTGCAACCTCACCCCCGCCCACCCCCTCCCCATCTGCTCGTCATGTGCCCCTCCCCCTCCCGTCCCATCAAACGCCACTCAAATGCAATCCAAATCTGCAATCGGCACATCCATCCAGCGCCAACGCACCCCGGAAAAGCCTATCAAGCCAAAAAACACTTCATCTGCGTCTGCGTCAGTGTCGATAGCCGAGTGATAACGTCATGTCCTCGACTAGCATATGTACCCTCCCCGCACCCCGCACACCCACACATTCGCCCGCCCCCCGCACAACACGGCACACCCCGCACAGCACACCAATGCCCTGCAGATACATACATGCTTATGTACTCACATGCTCACCATCCTCCTGGAAGCTGGACTGGACTGGAGAGGGGTGACACACGAAAAATATATACCTACGGTAGCTGTACTTTATGTACCGGAGATGGATGCATGGACACGATAGTACGATACACGATAGTACGATACATGACAGGTACTGTAGATACTTCCTACATGAGGTGAGCAAAAAAAAACTTCCCGCCCCGCACCACACCACCATCACCAGTGGCCAGGCAATTTTGTGGCCGCACAACACCACTACTCCGCAGAGGGGAGGGGGGGTGATCTACGGGTGAGGGACGTACGAAGTATCGCAGCATGTATGTATGTAGGAGGTATGTACCC